GTTTGGTTTATGGCATATCAACCTCAGTGAGTTATTTAATGCCAGCAAGATTTTTATTACTGGTAAATTTTGTTTTACCAGGACAGCATATTTTTTTTCATTACAGTTCACATATTTTTACAATCGTCTAAATAAACAATCTATTAAATAGTGTTTAACACCTTTGCTGTCAATTCTCAAGAATAAAGAAAATGCATAAATCCATTTTCGTATGTTTAGGTTTTATTAAAATTCTAATCATCAGTTTTTAAAACAATAAACATTGCTGAGGGGGTCAATAGTGTATACAGTAATAGGGGTGTCAAGGGAATAACTGTCCTTTTGAGACACAGGTGTTTTTTTTTTTTCATGCCTGAAGGTTAAATATTGCCAGGAATACTTTAGGACAAGGGTTGAAAGACTTCAACTGCATCTTCCTGCAAGATGCAAACTTGTAACCTTTTTGAATTAACTTGTAATAAAGGTAAGTTGGCCTTGACACCTCTCCTTGTCATTATTGCTAAACCCATCCTGATAAGAATACTACAATGTCCTCTTTTTGTTTCTTTTTGCCTCCCTGCACAGGGAGGCAGCCAGTATATTCTTGACTGACTTACAGGACAGTGCCAGACCAATTTTTTTCCAAACCTTTATCTCAAAAAAAATTTCAAAAGAAATTTATTTATTTATTGTATATCTGAAGAAGGCTGGATTCCCTGAAACAGTATCTTCTTTTACATACAAAATCCTTTCAGAACGTGGGCAATTATAGCTCTCCACAGCTACTTGTTTTTTGCTGCTTTATACAAGTCTTGACCCTATACAATCTCTTGTTATTCCTGTTCTGCTGTACATTTATACAATCTCATTAACAAGTTACTTGCTTTTCTTGTTTAATGTCTTGTGAGTGTTAAATTCTCCAGGTCTTCTTTCCTCATACCTAAGAAATTTCAATTGTATCTTTCTGATTGTGTCATTTTCTTTGTAGTTCTTTTGTTCCTCATTGCTCACATGTTCTTATCATGGTATTCTTAGCATTTGTTGGTAGAATCACATCTGTTGCTTCAAGCCAGTTCATTTGTGAAGAAATTTCCCAGCATTCATTGCCATACAAGAGATTAGACATGATGTAGCAATTCATCAGTCTTTTGGGGCATTTCTAACAATATTTTCCTGTGTCATAATACTTGCTTTAGTTTCTGGAAGACATCTTTCAGTAATTCTATGCACCTTCAATTTTCTATGTCATATTTTCCATCATCTGTTATGACACAATCCAGGTAGTTAAACTTCTACATCTGCTTGATTTGGACATCAACAGTTCACAGGCCACAGCTTGGTTTCTCTCTCTCTCTCTCCTTACAGTTAGTCCTTTCTTCTTGCTTTCCATTGTTACCTTGTCTAAGAGTTCTTTCCATTTCTTTACCGATTAGCTTTCAACAGTGTAATTCATATACTGTTGGCCAATAATAAATTCTGGTAGTTTTCTTGTTCTCTTAAAATCACTTTGATGCATAAACGAAATAAATGTGGTGAGAAAAGAGTTACTTGTCTTACTCCTCTTTTTATTTATGTGTATTTACTGAATGTTTTCTCTATCTGCATGCAGACTGGTTGTTCCCAGCAAAGGTTTACAGTTTATTCTAATATTTTTCTCATGTAAATCAAGCTTCACTGATATTTTGAATAGATCTTTGTGTCACACCTTATCAAATGGTAATAGTAATATCAGTTATTTCCTTTCTATTTTTTAACATTTCATCCCAAGCAAGATGATAAAGCCACTAAGATGCAGGGGATTACTGAATGAGAGAGAATATGATTAAAAAATAACACTTAAGAAAAGAAAGCAATAAAAGAACAGAAATTAAGACAGAAGATAACGATTGACATTGCATTTAAATTTTTGAAGATCAAAGTTAACTGGGAAGTGAGAAGTGTGATAGAAGAAACTGTTAGCATAGAACTTAGTGACATCTAGCCATTTCAACTATAAAATGATGAGACCTTACTACCAATCTAGTATTGTGTTTAAATTCATAAAAACTTTACCATAGAGCAAAGTTCACCAGAACAATTACCATGAAAATATTTATAGAAAAGACACAGTGGTGGGAAAAGGACTGAAGCCAAGATGCCAAGTCAGGACAATTCTTCTTTAGTTTTTATCAAAAATCTATAGCAGGAGAACCAGACCAAATGTGGCAGCAATATTCAATGCATGAACAAATGGTAGACTCATTTTCTCATGTGGAAACATGTGGCATTCACTGACTGGGCATCCAGTGCTACTTTCAGCTGAAATTTATAAAATCTTTTAAAACAATTTTTCAGGAAAATAGGTTTCTCAAATCCAGTAGCTGTTATTGCTCTTTCCAATATTAATGAAGATTTCCTTTCTAACCATTTGTTTCCTGTAATGAGGAAAGTCAACATCTTTATTATATATAATTTAATAAAGATGTTAACTTTCCACACATACACATATATATATATATATATATATATATATATATTTATATAAAGATAATAAAGATCCACACATATACACACACACACATATATATATATATATATATATATATATCACACACACAAAGCCAACTTATATATATATATTACACTTATGAAACCAACTTCATGTATAGCATGGGCCCTAAATTACTTTGCATGAATTTTAACCCCTCCAGAAAAAATTTACCTGTGCAACTGGTCAACAAAAATACATGATTTTCAACCACTCCAAAAATTTACCTGTGTATAGTGTAATCCCCTATTTTTTGCATAAAAAAACTGATCATAAAACTTCAAAAATACTGAAGTATGTACAGAATGTCCTTATATTTTCTGAGTTACATGCCCTATCCATTTTAGCTGTTCCTGTTGTTGAAAGTCCTCATGCGACATGGTTCCTGTTATTTGGTACAGTTCTTTGTGATTATATTGTTCCAGTTCACAAGGTTCAAAGAAGTATAGTCCTCACTCAGACCTACTGGAATCATTCACCTGAAGTCATTTTTAATCATTGGAACTAGGTCTATTTGGAAAGGATGTTAGAATAATCTAGAACTTATACTGGAAGCAAACTGCCTGCATACGGATAGACAAATAGATATAAAAATAGAAAGGGGTGTGAGACAAGGTTGCATCTTCTCCACAGATTTATTCAACCTCTACAGTGAGGTTATCCTAAAGGAAATGAAGACCTTACCAGGATTTATTATCAGTGGGCAGAATCTTAACAATGTAAGATACACAGATGACACATTGCTGGCTAACTCATAAAGGAAACTGGACAGTGTAGTAGAAGAAAGAGAGAAAAAAGGACTAATCATCAACTGTAAGAAGACAGAAAGTATGGTCATCAGCAAGAGAAAATTCCCAAGATGCAATTTACAAATTGGAGATAAATATCAGGAATATGCAAAAGTTAAAATATCTGAGAAGTGTTTTCAAAGAGGATGGAAAATACAACATTGCAATCCAAACACGCATTGAACTATCAAAAGAGGCATTCCAAATACTAAGCAAGGTGCTGAGAAATGGAAAAAAAAATATTCATTATAAACAAAGAAAAGAGTGCTGGATTGCTATGTGGTATCCATCCTCTTATATGGTAATGAATGCTAGACAATCTCTCCATGGATGAGGAGAAAACTAGAGGAAGAGGAAATTTGGTTCTACATAAGGAACATTGAAAATTCTATGGAGGGAATGAGTAAGTAAAAAGAAAGAACACTCCTACTCAGAATCAGGAGAAGACAGCTGAAATTGCTTGGGCAAATAATGAGGAAAGAGGTCTTGGAAGACATAACACTCACAGGGTATATTGGGCACAAGAGAGATAGGGGAAGGCAGGGAGTCACTTGTCAAACCTGTGTGAATGACTGGGCGAACAGGAGGAGGGGGGGCCTTAGAAAAGGGAGAAAAACTGCTACAAACCACACAATAGAAAGTTGTGGAAAGTCATGATTGTGTAAATACTGAAGGCAGATAGAAGATTTTCTGAGAAAGTAGTTATATACAACTGACAGTCAAGCTATTTCTGAACAGGTTTGGTGTTATGGATGGTATTCACTTGAAAGTCTTGATCTGACAAGGCTCAAGAACACAAATAGTTCTTAGGTTAATGTTTTAGTCTTGTAGCAACTTTCACTGCTGGACAGGGCAATCTCTAGTGCAGCCTCTTCTATGTTTAATTTCCTTGTCTTCTATACTAAATTTGTTATAACTAATGCATACACCAAGGTGTTTAGAGTATTTATTCATTCCAAATCTTGTAATTTTACAATAGATTCAGGGTAGGTACTATCACTGGTTTCATTCCAAATTATAGTTTCTGTTTCGAAAAGGGTTATACGTTTTAGACCACTTTGTAGCGGATGTTGATTTTTGTTCAAGATGCTTTTATGTAATCTATGGAAGATAACTATCAGTTTTTATGCATTTGTATTACTCACTTTGACAGCATTCTGATCATAAAGATGACATTTCTTGTTCCGGTGTCTTCAACAAAACTACCTCTTTCTTGCCTTATTTCTGGTCTAATTCTGTCACAACCACTATTTATGAGAATTTTAATTTCATGACATTTTATATTTTTCAAAAATTCTACTGTTTGGACATGGGTAAAAGGTAGGAATTCAAACACTGATTTTCAAAGATGGTATGTGTTTCCAATTTAAAATACTGTCAAAAAAACAATCTTCTGTGTCTCTATGGTAAAGTTAGATGAACTTTATAAATATAATATCTATAACTCAAAAATTTTCCCAGCTTTCTACCTTCATTCTTTCAAAAAAATTAACTCTGGTGAAATGGAAAAAAAACAACAAAAAACCAAAAAAGATTCAATAGTCTGAACAATTCTCAAAATAATCATGATGCTTCTCAAAATTTCATAGACATTTTCCTTTCAATAGAAACTTTGATGACAAAAGAAAAAAGACAGGAAATGTTTTGAAGCAGAATTGGTTATTCAATAAAGATGGAAATTACAAGTGGGTGATTGAGAAACTTACCCTTTCAGGAGTCTCGAACATCTGTTCCAAATTAACAACACCTGGATGCTGCAGGGTCTGAAAATAGAAATATAGAGAGATAAATAAGGATAAATAAAAAGACAAAATATTTTTAAAAGTTTATAATAATGCATAAATTTATTTTGAACTTGGAAAATATAAGTTTTTATATCTTGGATATGGTGTACTTATGAGAGAATAACTGGTGGGGATAAGAAGGAAAAACAGAAAAGAAAAATGAATGGAAATATTGAAAATGAGAAAATAAAGAAAAATGAAGAAAAAAAAGGAGAAAAAAAAAAGGAGGGGAAAGGAGGAAAAAAAAAGGAGGAGAAAGAAGAAACAAGGGTAAAAGGAAAAAAAAAACAAGGGTAAAAGGAAGGAGAAGGAAAAAAACAAGGGTAAAAGGAAGGAGAAGGAAAAAAAAGGGAAAAAGGAAGGAGAAGGAAAAAAACAAGGGTAAAAGGAAGGAGAAGGAAAAAAACAAGGGTAAAAGGAAGGAGAAAAAAAAATACAAGGGTAAAAGGAAGGAGAAGGAAAAAAAATACAAGGGTAAAAGGAAGGAGAAGGAAAAAAAATACAAGGGTAAAAGGAAGGAGAAGGAAAAAAAATACAAGGGTAAAAGGAAGGAGAAGGAAAAAAAATACAAGGGTAAAAGGAAGGAGAAAAAAAATACAAGGGTAAAAGGAAGGAGAAAAAATACAAGGGTAAAAGGAAGGAGAAAAAAAAATACAAGGGAAAAAGGCAAAGGAAAAACAAGAAGGCAAAGGAAAAATGAAGGAGAAAAGAGAAAAAAAAAACGAGAATAAAAAAAACGGAGAAAGGAAAAAAAATTGAAACATTAAAAAGAAAAGAAGGAAAAAAGAAATAAGGAAAAGGAAAAAAGCCAGATGAAGCAAATAGAAAATGGAAAAAGTGGCAAAACTAAAATACAAAAAATAAAGAAGTAAAAGATGAGAAAAAATTCCAAAAGAAGTAAAAGAAAACACAAGTTAAAAAAAAGAAAAGAAAAAACATTGCTTTTGTAGTTAAGTTATGCTACTGAATATATTATGTACCAATGCAATACCATTGTTGCTTTCGTCTGTACTTTGCAGAACAAATTTACCATGAAGAACATAAAAAATCCCAGAAAAACAAACAAAAGAAAGAATAGAAAACTACAAATGAATATCACAAATATGTTTCATAGACCAGATTAATTATTATTAATGACATTCATAAAATAAAGAAAAATGCTTTATGGCCAAATAAACTTGTTGACATTCATAGACAACCATATTTGATGGCATACAAGAGACCTCATAAAAAAATCCAAGCTTTTATATATTAAAGCGAGGTATCTAGTAGACTACTGTTTACTCAAAAGCTGTGTACTAATGCTCAATGAATGAGACCATGATAGTAAATGGAATGATATTTAGACCCAGTGGGAATAGGATGAGCAATAACTGAGCAGTACTAAAATAAGAACAAGACAAGAGCTGTATAGAAATGGGCAGTGGAATGAGAACAATCTACCAATAGAGATTAAACACAGAGTTCAGTTCAAAATTCCCTGTAGGTTACCTGGATCAATATACACCTGATGAAGTCTTGCACAGTGTCTGAAATGTTGTAATAACAACAAGATGGGGACATTTGTCTGTATATAAATAAATGTTGATATATTGTTAAATTAACCAATCCAACTTTGCAACAATAATAACAAAGACTAATCAGTAATTAATAAGAACAATGATTCATCTAAAAGAATTCAAACACTTTAGGACTATTATATCTACTACTACTAGTATAAGATGTTGACAAGTACAAAATTTAGATGAAATAGTCCAGTGGCCACAAAGGCCAAAACATTGTGATGACAACAAAGTTGAGGACAACAGCCCGCTTGTAAACAATAAATGAAACTGGGTTATATTCCAGCAATTATTATTTCTAATACTAAAGTTCACTTAATAAAAGACTCATAAGCTAAGCAAGGTAGAGGGTTACTGGTAAAATGGTTATGATGAATGCAGTGATATGAATGACAGCAGAGGTGGTAGAGAAAGAAAACTATGAGGATAAAGAGGATAGATAATGACTGACCTGTAACTTGAAGAGGTTAAGATTGTAGCATTGAGGGAAGCATCAACGTGGGAGTCAGTTCCAGAAAGTAGTAGTTTTCAGGGGAAAAGCCACTCTGACTAGAACTTCTTGCTTGTATTTGTAATAGGGAGGAAATGAGGATGATTCAACACTGGATGTAGCATAGCATCTTCGAGCTGGTGGAACTAATGAATTTAATTCATCTGAACATCTGTCATGGAAATAGACAGATTCGAAATAGGTATGGGATGATGCATCTATGGGAAAGAGGATGCACAGTGGAAGATAAGTCATCCTCTACACAACCACATAAATCATTCATTGTGATTGAAGAAAAACTCAGGGTTTGATTAGTTATAGTGAAGTGATACTAGCTTGGTTTTGAGTTATTAAAAGTCACAAGCCAGTTTTTTTCATGCTGAACTCTTAGAGACACTTTCAGTCCATCATTAACTGGGGCAAAAAATGGCTTGTTAATTTTAATGGCTCCAAAACAAAACTTCTCTACATTAATCACCTGACCCCTCTCTGCTTTTTATCAGTATGGCTAATGCTAACCTCCATGAAAGTGAGTTATTGCACCTTCTCAGGCTGACATGAAATAGAAAGACTATATTGAATCCAGTGCTAGATCAGCTGGTAAGAAATTTGGTTCATTGTGTTGTGTGAGACAATTTTCCTCTCAAGAATCTATCTTACATATCTATAAGTCTACCATTCGTCTGGACTTAGAATATTGCTGCCACATACGATCCGGTACCCCTGATATTTACCTTGAACTCCTTGATAAAATCCAAAGAAGAATCAGTAATATTATTGGTCCTGATCTGGCAGCTCAACTTCAGTCATTTTCCCACCATTGTAAGGTTGTTTCTCTGTGCCTTTCCTCTAAATACTTTCATGGTGATTGTTCAGATGAGCTCTTCACTATGCTATCTAGACTTTATGAATTTAAAGGCAGTACCAGGCTGATGTTGAAATCTCATCAATTGACAGTCAAGCTGGCTCGATGACTAACAGTTTCTTTTCTCACATTTCTTGTTTGTGGAACTCCCTTCCAGCTCCCTGCTTTCCAGTCAACTTTAATATGCAAAAATTGAAATGCAATGTCAATCGCTATCTACTGTACTCCTGATTATGCTTTTCTCTTTCCACTCATTATTAATGTTTGTGTTCTTAATTCTTCCACCCCTTGTAACCTCTTGTGTCTTAATGGCTTTACGACCTTGCATGGGGTGAGACTGATTTTTAAAAAAAGAAAAGAAAAAAGAAGTCAGCTAATAACAAATAATTCAGTTTCAATTACAAGTTTTTAGTATTAATGTCATTAAAATCATCATTTAGTCATTCATTAAGAAATGTTTCTCTTTATGAAGACCGATGATGACAACGATGTCTGTTCCACCAAATGATTGGAAAGAAGAAAGAAAGAGATTGTGCAGTCATTACCCTTTTCTCTATCCGCTCATTATTAATGTTTCTGTTTTTAACTCCTCCACACCCTGTAACCTTTTGCGTTTTAATGGCTTTACTGCATTGCATGGGGTGAGACAGATTAACCAAAAAAAAAAAAAGAAAGAAAAAGTCATCTGAAAAGAACATTCATTATACACAAAACTTCTTTTTCTACTGACTTTAAATATTTGCCAATTTCAATTTGTATTTCATTTCTGGTGTTTGAATTGTTAATAAAGTCATTATTTTTATTCTGTTTATTTATGAATGTTTTGGGCCTTCATTCATGTCAAATTAATAAATATTTTTACCAAAATTTATCAGTGGACAGCAAGTGCAACACTGAGATCCAAAGACGCATTGGGATGCCCAAAGACAGATTCCAAAAGCTAGGTAGAGTATTATGAAAAAGGAGGATTTCTTTGGTAACAAAGAAAAGTGTACTGAGCTGCTAAGTGACATTTGTCTCCCTTTACAGCAGCGAATGTTGGATGGTCTCCTCAAAGATGAAGACGACTTGAGGTAGTGGAGGTATGGTCCTACATAAGGATGCTAAGGATATCATGAGCGTGTGAGCAATGATGAGGTTTTGGAGAGGATGCAAACAAGGAGGAAGCTTATACTTAACATCAGGAAGAGGCAGCTGAAATTTCTGGGACATGTAATGAGAAAGGAGGGCTTAGAGAATCTGATACTCACAGGTTGAATAGCGAGAAAGATTGACAAGGGAAAGCAATGCATGACATACCTAGCGGGCTTAAGCAAGTGGATGACAGAACAGGGTCTGAAGTAGCAAAGGGACAAAACTTACTGAGCGCTACAAGGGATAGGCAGGGAAAGTGGAGAGTCATGATTGTCTATGTCCTGAAAGAACATGGTACATAAAAAGAAAAAATACAAAGCAAAAGGTGGTGTTCTTGGCACTGTGACCAGAAATATGTTTTTAATATTACTGTAGATTTTGTGAAATATATCTCTCAGAGACATTGGTATGCATCATCAGAAGATTCGGGTCTTAAAACATCATACCCCTTCTTCACAGTGACCCAGTTGATATTAATCAGATACTGACTTGTGTGACATCTGTCAGCTACAACACTTTCAGGCAATATAAACACATCTCAATGATGAATATTCAGCAGAAGTTGCTTTCAACAGGATTTTGTTTCTAGTTATTGGCAACTTCAAAGGAACTGTCTTCCAATTTGTCTATCCTAAGGTGTTCCATAACTCAGGCTTTTACATCAAGTTAAGGTCAGTAAGCAACTGGAGGCAAATGATTAACATGCGAAAGTTCATTGCTGGAATTGGATTAAAAAAAATTTTTTTTTTTTAAAGAAATTTTTACGTTTTACTTGAATTAACTTAAGTTTATTATTTAAGATACTGAAGCAAGTATGATGTTTATTTTATATGAACTTTGCATATTTTATCTTTAAACAAACTTTTCTGATACAAAATTCACAAGTGTCATTAAGAATTTATGACAAAGTTAATTTAAATTTAATATTTGTTTATTTTTCAACAATGACAATATTAAGTATAAAATTTATTTTTTGACTAATTTGTTTTTCTTTAACAAAGTATTTTTTAAAAAAGTATGTTTAATTTTTTGTCCTTCATAAATAAAATCAATGAAAAACGACACCTATTAAATAATTTATTACATAATGTAAAAAATTAAATTCATTAATAAATTTGATATTTTACAACTATTCTTAAAAATATACCACAAAAATGTAAAAAACAACATTGTCTTGTCAGTATCGTCTTTCTCTTTTTTACGATTATTTTAAACAGCAAAATTCACAAAAAATATGTCAAGAATTTTGTCACAGAAAGTTAATTTAAATTTTTTCTTTATGCTATTATTCTTCATAACAAATATTTTAATTACTTTAATTCATTTTTTAATGAGTAATTTGTTTCCTTTATAACATGTGAAGTATGCTGATACAGTCTTGTAAGAAAACAAAAAAATTTAATGTAACTTTTTGAATTGTTAATTTTCCTATACATAAATTTGGCCATTTGAAAAAAATTGAATAAAAATTTAATTCAATATTTTGTCTATGATATTATTCTTCATAAACATATTTACTTAAAAATTAAAAAAATTAATTTTTTGCAGGTATTTAAAAAATGCGTTCTGAATTTTACTGGCATTGTTGTTAAAAATGTAAAACAAAGTTAAACAGTTTAATAATTTTTACTGTAAATTTAAAAAAAAAATACATTGTAAAAATATCAAACTTGTTAATTTTGTTTAAATAATTGTATTTTATGGGAGAGGGGGTGATTGAACCATTAAATTACAATTATCCAAAATTTAATTTTCCAAACTTTAAAATTCCCAAGTCTGGATTCCAAATTCCTGGCATTTCTTAATCCATGTTAATCTCTAAAAGATTTCCACATTCATACAAACTTTAAATTCTGAAATCTAAATTCTAAAGTCCAAACTCTCCAGACTTTAGAATATAAGTTTTATACACTTTTGAGAAGAACCATGTAATTTTTACAAAATAGTTTAGTTAATATTTTTTCAATTTCAGTACCCCAAAACCTTTCTTGAAATGGTCAAAAAGTGCTGTGTAACAGGTTGGCATGGTAACTATGATTACCAAAATAAAGTTTGTGTATTGTCTTTCCCTCAAGACAAACACTCCTGACAAACCACTGTTGTTTGAGAAAGGTATGAAACAGTGGTTATTAGAGGAAAAGTATGACCCAGAAACCCACCATCAGTATTTGATCATTTGCCATCAAGTGTATTACCTAATCCTCAACCAAAACCAAGAACAACAAATAAAACTTCTGCTTCTGTGTGAAATGTGCAAAATGATGAGTTGGCACAGTTCCTAAAAAAAGACAAAATCCTCACTTTTGAAAATTTGTATCAGAATATTGATCAACAAGATTTTTTGTCAGCAGTTACATGCTATAAATCAAACAATCAGTTGTTTATCCAATCTACTGATTTTTCACTGGAGGTATTCCAATGTTTCTAATAAAAATTTTTGAAAATTTGAGATTCGAATGCTACCATGCTTATATATATTTAAAAATATATTATGCTTCATTTTGCTACATGAGTTTCTGGTCTCTCAACCTCCATCAAGCAAAGAGTGGATATTTTCACATATTATTAAAAAGAATTAATTTTTCGATGTTAAATATTCTTTATATCAGACATTCCCTTTTTGTGCGTTAGTGACCCAAATGTCTTCCTTGAATTGGCAGTGAAAAAGTTCTGCGTGAAGGGTAATAAAACAATTAAGATTGATCCGAGAAAGGATGAGGAAGATATCTATATTCTTATCTCTTAATGAATCCTGTGTGTTCTTAGATCTATCTCCATTTTTTTTGTGTTTTGATGCCAGTCTAGTACTGCGCTTAAATTCAAAAAGTCTAAGTACAATAGCAAAGAGCTCATCTGAACAATTACCATGAAAGTATTTATAGAAAAAGCAGAGAGAGAAAACCTTATGGTGATGGGAAAGTGACTGATGCTGAGCTGCCAGATTAGGACCAATAATTTTGCTTATTCTTCTTTGGATTTTATCAAGGAGCTCAATATGAATAGCAGGGGCATATATGGCAGCAATATTCTAAGCATGGACAAATGGTAGACTTATAGATATGTAAGATAGATCCTGGTAAGGAAAATTGTCTCGCACGACACAGTGAACCAACTTTCTTAGCAGCTGATCTCGCAATGAATTCAATATAGTCTTTCCACTTCCTGTTAATGGAGATTATAAGCTGAGATTAGACTTCAGCACTGAATAAATTAATAAGGAAGGCAATTCGATTGTAAAATAAACTGTTACATAAAAGCTTTGTTCATTATTGGCTACAGACTTATTGGCATCCCAATGTGAATCCCAAATTCTTCACTATTTCAAGTTGGACAGACCAAGTGAAGAATAGTCCAAAAGGAATTTCTCAGAAGACAAATTTCTCTTTTCTATAGAAACACTTCTCTCTAAGAAATATCTTTTTTTCCAAATTACTATCAAGTAAGCACTCCAGATCAGAAATACAATTTGTTTTTTTTTTTTATTTTTAATTTTTTCTAAATTTTAACAGAAGAGGATTCAGTTTTCAATGTAAATTTATCCGTCTATAAAAACCAAACAAATATGAACCTATTCTTATTTGCCTTATAAAATTTCAAGTTAACATGTTGACTGCCAGAGGTCAATTATGAAATCTGACTTCAAACGCCAACTTAATAATAGCCAACTCGGGCAATAAAAAATTTTTACGAGTTGATTTATAGCTTCAATTAAAGTCTTAACATTGTTTTCACACTAAAAGAATCATTGCGAATAAACTTGATGTTGGCACCCACAGATGGAAATGTATCAGAATATGCCAGGCACAAGATAATTGCTTGTTGGCATCATAATAATGATTGGTTGGCTGTTTTTGTTTATGGGGCTTAACCAATTTCTATAATGAAATAATACTAAAATCTACATATTTTGTACACAATTTTATATTTTTAAATTTTTTTTTAATGGTTTTAGTGATACAAGTCTTACTAATTAACCCATATCTGGGGGGAGAAGAGGTGGATTCATACCTTTCCTAAGGGTTTTTGCATGTAATTGAATATAACGAACCTGAATGAAATAGGAGAGCTGAGTTCCAATTCCGAACTATTATCCATTACAGCACCCACACATCTAACCTTATAATACCTGGTATTCCCAAGTGGTCACTCATCTAGGTACTGACCAGGCTCGATGTGACTTAACTTCTGTAATTCAACATGATGTGGCTGTAAGCAAGGTGTCATAATAAAAATTGCCAAGCATGAGTTATATGATTTGCAGTCAATGTGTTAAAATTAAAAAGTTAATATTTATATTATCTAAAGCATATTCTTACTTAACTTTTTCCTTTGCTGTGCAAAAATAATATTCATGAGGGTCGGCTGAATAGTTCATAGGCTGACCAAGATACAAATGGAAGTAGATACACAAGTTGGTAGACTAAAAGACATGCAAGTGTACCAGAATACAATAGTCGGAACTTTTCAGAACAACCTTCTGGATCGAGATATAGCTGTTTAAGGCCAGAGAGCACAAGAACCAAAACATAATGATACCAAAGATGGGAATAAAAAAATAGAAAGTAGAAAACAGTGCTTTTGACATGAATTTGTTTAACATGGAACTTAACTTGCTAGAAAGTGACCCCCCCCCACACACACACAATTTCATGACCTCCACCACAACAAGGAGCAACCATCAGAGGATAAGAGACAATAGTCTGCATGTAAATAGTTTCAAGCAATTTCAAAACCACTTCAAAATATGAATTTACCTTTTACTTTTATTATTATGATTTATACTATTTACACTGTTCGGACTGTTGTCCTAATTTTTATTACCATATTCGCAATGTTTTGGCTGTTGTATGCTCCTGCCTTCTTCAGGTGATATTTAGTGAAATTTCAAACTGAACCCTTTATTTAGTCAACAGGGTTAGATTGTTCTAATTCCATGTGACATTCCTTTGGATATCTCAGTTTAGACTTATAAACCTAATATCTCAGTCATGGTGGAGTAATGAGTGGCTCAGATTGAGGAATCAGAGAGCAGAGTTTGAATTCCTGTGGAATCCATTACATTCACTAACCCTTGGAAACAGACTGTAATCTATAGCCTTGGATGACAACTGGTCTACTGCAGAAAGAAATGGAAACCTACTGTGGGGAAAAAAATCTGCCTTGTCAGTCATATATTGAAAGATACATGATGACCTAAGCGTGTATCATGCATGGCACACAATTGACTGAGGTTTATAAATCCCCCAAATCCACTCACTGATGTCCCCAACTGGATAAAAGCATTGGTTGAGTGATCCTAAAAGTGACTTGACCCAAAGAGTTGTGAGTTCAATACCTAGCCACAGCAGATGGAATATAAACTTGGAGAGTTGGGTTACCAAGGGAAATTAACTGAAACTAAGGTTTCCAAAGGCATGGCACATGGACTAAATAAAGGGTTCAGGTTGAAATTCCATCTAATATCACCAATGGATGATATGTCATGAATATGGCAATAAAGATGAGAACAATAGTCTGAACAATGTAAATAGTGTAAATACTTATAATACCATCTCAGAAATATAAGCAGATATTTATTTCCTTTACTTAACTTTTTTTTGGTGGGGAGGCTTGATTTACAATGACTTTATATAGAAAACTGAACCCTACTCTTAAAATTTAGAATTTTCCAATAGTAATATGAAAAAAAAATTTGGAAAAAAAAAAAAAAAATGATTATTTCTATGAGAGGTGCATTTCTGTAGAGAAGAAGCCAAACTTGTTTTTAATTTTGCTAAAAATAAGAATTCTTATATAAATAGAAATATAAGCAGATATTTATTTCCTTTACTTAACTTTTTTTGGTGGCGAGGCTTGATTTACAATGACTTTATATAGAAAACTGAACCCTACTCTTAAAATTTAGAATTTTCCAATAGTAATATGAAAAAAAAAAAATGATTATTTCTATGAGAGGTGCATTTCTGTAGAGAAGCCAAACTTGTTTCTAATTTTGCCAAAAATAAGAATTCTTAATGTAAGCTAACAGTGATATCGACACGTCTCTTTCCTTTCTGAAACTCTTATAATAGATAGAAGCTCCAGGTGCATCAGACATAACTACAGAGTTCAAAAGTGATCAAAGTAGATTTTTATTTTTATTTTTATAACCTTTCTTGAGCTGAGTGAGTAATAATGGTTGATTTAGAGAAGTAAATGAATCCATTGCTGGTGTAAGAGAGGCATTCATCCTTGCAGAACAGATGTGGAAATTTAGAAATCATCACCTATCATATTTAAAAATGCGCTTGGTGATTTTGGCACGTTAGCTTCAATTAAGGTGAACAGTGCCAAACATTTTTTTCGGTTGACAAATTGAGAGCAAATAAAAAAAAAAATTTCTTTTTTCTCTCTCCCTCCATTTTTTTGTTTTCTTCTTTTTTGGTTGCAACTTAGTTCTAGTCTTATATGGCAATTTCTTATTAACTAAAACAGATAGTATTACATAAGGGTTCAACTATCAAAAGGTAGCAGTAAAAGTGTTTTTTTTTTTTTTAATCATTTCAGCCCCAATCAAATCAATTGTTTTGGGCATGGGATAGTTTTTACGATAAAGTCAAGAGTTCCTTTATATCAGGTGTGGGCAACCTTTTCCGACTAGTGAGTTGCACAAGATATGGCTCATCATAAGGCAGGTAGGCTGCACTACTAAAACATTCAAGGTAATTTTCTGTGATTCAGTCATTTTCATTACAGCTGAACATACATGCAAATCTCTGACAGTGTGATTAGCACACGATGCTTCATGATTAAATTTTTAATTTATTAACTTGAAAAAAAAAAAAAAAAAAAAAATTTTTTTTTAAAATAAAAAATAAATATGTATCTTCAGATAAAGTTATGAACATTCCCTAATTCTAAAGCAAAAAAGGTATTTACACATCCAATCTTCTTTAGTGAAAGTTGTTTAAAAGGATGAAAACGTTATCTTCAATGAAAATTTAAAAATTCATGAAACATTGCACTTAATCATCGATTATGCATGGGGTTCTGTACGAGAGAGTGTGTGAGTGAATAAGTGAGAATGAAACAACCCAAATTTTAAGAAATGTTATTTTACTCATGACATTAGGCATGCCATTCAGAAAGACCAAATGGGTTGCATGTGGCCTGTGGGCCACAGTTTGTCCATGACTGCTCTATATCCTTCCTATCATGCATCATGACTCTTACCCAAATACAGGTCAATCACTAAAACTCTGACCTTTAAAGAATATGAGAAAAAAACATTAAGAAAAGAGGACAATAAAAGAACAAGAATTAAGACAGAAAATGATGATTGACATTGCTTTTAAATTTTTGAAGATTAAAGTTGACTGGAAAGCAAGAAGGTAGATGAGTTCCACAAATGAGAAGAGTGAGAGAAAAACTGTTAGCATAGAACTTATGGTTACATATAGTAATTTAAACCTTAAAATGATGAGACCTAGCTGCCAATTTAGTACTGTACTTAAATTTGTAAAGTTGAAGTACCAAAGAGAAAAGTGATATTTATTCTTGTATATACAGAAAATATGGCACAAGGCCAAAAAGGAAATGGGGAAGATGGTCTTTAACTGTCCTACATTTAACTTAGCTAGCCACAATCATTGACCGAAACATGTTATTTTATTACACCAAAACAACACATTCTTAGTTACCATACTTACTAGTCACCATAATACCACAATTATTATACTTGCTACAGTCACCATAATACCACAATTTCTCTACCCAAGAGGAAAACTTATCAGAACAATTACCATGAAACAATTTATAAAAAAGGCACTGGTAAAGTGGCTGAAGCCAAGATGCCATGTTAAGACCAATAACATTATAAACTCTCTGGATTTTGTCAAAAATATCTAAATGCATAGCAGACATACCAGACCAGATGTGGCCATAATATCCAATACATGGACAAATGGTAAAAGATTCTGGTGAGAAATTGTCTAGCATGACACGGTGAACCAACTTTTCTAGCAGCAGACTCAGCAACTGATTCAATATAATCTTTCCCCTTCATGTCAGTGGAAAAGATTAGATCAAGAAGGCACAATGAGTCGCTCTTCTAGTGGTTAGCATCAGACATGCTAATGGAAGGTTAAAAAGGTTATTTGAGACTATTAAAGTGAGCAGTTATCATTTTAGAGGCATTGAAATTAACATGCCATTTCTTGGCCCAGTTAACAACAGAATGAAAGTAATTTGCTACAAACTTTACAAATTCAAACTTATCAAAGTTGCCATTAAAACAGGAGTAAATAATGGTGTCATCAGCATAGATACTGAATTGAGAACTGACATCAGGAAATATGCAAAGTATGTCTATGATAGAACTCTGGGGGACACCAAAATTAATGCGAAAAGTTCAAGAGGAGTGGCCATTCAAGACAACTTTCATTTCTCAAAATTTTTTTTATTATTTAAATTCATTGGATAAGGTAAAATAAAATATGGCTTATGAATCAAAATATAAAATAATTCTTTAAATCTACTGAACAATATATTTTCCATTTAGCTCTATTATCGTTTGCCAATTTTCAGACAACTTCATAGTTCCATCCTTTCAGTAAGTCTTATCTTTCTCAGCAACAAATGTATAACAGAATTATTACTTTCTTCTTTTTTTTTTTGTGACCAATATTTATTGACTGGTAAATAGTAAGTCACTGGGGATTAACAAAGAGAAATTGACAAGGGGGTAGAAGATGTAGTAATCAACTTGAAAAGAACTGGGACAAGAAAAGAGAGATTAACACAAGATAAAGGTATGATTCCGACTACGTATTTATTTGACCATTGGAGTGAATATTTGGTTTATGAATCAAAAAATAAAATAATTCTTTAATTTATTGAACAATATATTTGTCATTTAGTTCCATTATCAGTTGCCATTTTTCTGGCAATTTCATAGTTCCATCCTTTCAGTAAGTTTTTTTTTCTTTCAGTTAACAAATTGAGAGCAAAAAAATATTTTTCTCTTTCTCTAATTTTTTTTCTTGGCTAGAACTTAGCAGCTTACAAACAAGACAGAATTATATTACTGATTCAAATTCAATCAGCCAGTATGTGTTAATACTGTCAGAATTAATTTAACCAGACATGCATTTGGTGGTAGAATGTTGTTACAAATTCAACTCAATTTGGAGATTGTTAGTTTTTTTTTTATTTATTTTTTCTTTCAGGATGTTGAAAAAATATCTTAGATGCCAAAATTTATCTGTCTATATTTCTGAGATGAGGTATTATGTACACTATTTACATTATTTGGACTATTGTCCTCATCTTTGTTGCCATATTTATCACAATGTTTTGGCCGTTGTACGCTCCAGTCTTCTTCAGGTGGTTGGAATTAGTAAGATCCAGTGACAGGACCCAAAGAGTGTGAGTTCAATACCTGGTTAAGGTGGTTGAGAACTTGGAGAGTGAAATTAACAGGAGATAACTGATAACTGACACTCATTACACATGGCATGTGGAACTAGAACAGTCTAACCCTATGAGCAAAATAAAGGGTTCAGTTTGACATTCCACAGCATGGGACAAGCATGAGAAGATTTCGACATTTGAGGAAAATTTAATGACATAAAATTCCTTGTTTACGCTATGTCATTTGTAAGTTGGATTTGTCACACCAGTGTTAAGAGTTGGCCGAGGTTAGCTGCTTAGAAAGTTGGGGAAGGAAGAAAGAGATTAGTAACACCTATATGGAGTGATGTGTAAAGATGGGACATGAAAGGAATTAGGAGCAGCTGGATTCCTCTGGTCACTCTCAAAAGGGTGCTGGATAACCCCAAATTTGGAAAACCACTTGAGTAAATATATTTTGAGAGTATGGAATTTTAGAAAAAGGTTGATGCTAAAGAATAAAGGCAACTCAACCCAGACCCCAGTCAACTCCACCCCTGCCAAACACAGCACTCCATGTAAGCTGGAGGTTTGGACAACTTAAAAAGTCCCCACACTACTGCTATAGAAATCCACATTTGCTGAGACCACCTGACCAAGACCTTATGCCAGCCCTGAAGACCAGAACTTAGAAATTATGCCTAAAACAAGCTGCAGACTCCAAAAGGGATCCCAGTGTCATTTGATTATAACAACAAGTGGGAAGGGTTAAAACTGCTGCATATAACAAATTATATATAAACCAAATCAGTGTTACATTTTTAATCAGATTTAATTGTTTATTCCAAAGGATTCTTTTTTGTGTGTGTGTGGCTCCCATCCATTGATCTCTCTTCAATTCAGTTTGCTTCATCAGCAATCTTTTCATCCTCTGAGATCAAAAAACACAACATAACAAAGGAGTGAATGGTCATAAAGAAACAAACACCAGGTAAGTTGAGTAGAACCATGCATACCCACACGATACCAGCTACTAACAAGTCTCATGTTAATAAGTGAAGAGTCAGCTAGATGGTAACTACAATTACCTGAAAAGAAACTTATGGATCAACATGGAGCATAAAAATACATTAACAACAGTGGCTGATTATAAAGACTGACTTGTAGGGGTGACATTATATGGTTACCAGTGGCAAGGATTGATGAGTGGGATTATAAACACTAGCACTCAATGTGCTACATATATATATATATATATATATATATATATATATGTGTGTGTGAGTGTATGTATGATAAAAATATAGTTTTAAGGTAGGCTATATATGTAAAAGTGCTTAATATCAAAGAACATATGTAAATATGAAATATTAAAATAGACACTGAGATCAACACCAAGTGGCATGTAGTGTACCAGGTCTCAGTATTTGACCCTTCAAAAAGTGTGGTTGGTTCTGCACAAAGCCTTCACCACTATAATCAAATATTACGTGCTGGTGTCTGGCTGTCAGTTCCTAGGAACTGAGCTGCCAGACATGTCGAATATAATGGGAGTGTCAACCATATATATATATATATATATATATATATATATATATATATATATGTGTGTGTGTGTAAAAATTAAGAAAATTTTATTCATTGCTAACTAAGGAAACCTGATATAGAAAATGATAGATCCCAGAGAAAGATTTCAAATTTTGACCCTTAAATTCTATGGCACTGAATTT